CCCGCAGGAAAACGGACAAGCAGAAGTTATGAACAAAGCTATCATCTACAGGTTGAAAGCGCGACTAGACCGAGCTAAAGGGTTGTGGGCGGACGAGCTACCAAGTGTTCTATGGGCTCACCGAACTACGAAAAAAACCGCCATGGGAGAGACCCCCTTTAACCTCACCTACGGCACTAAAGCGGTGATCCTGGCGAAGATCGAAGTACCTACACTGTGACTAGAAGCATACGACGATCAGACAAACGGAGACGAGCTACATACCAACCTCGATCTACTCGACGAGGTAAAAGATCTCGCGTACATTCGGACCGCAGCTTACCAACAAAGAGTATCTCGGTACTACAATGCCAGAGTAAAAACGCGGAACTTCCGCGTTGGCAACCTGGTTCTCCGTAAGATCATGGCACCCGAGCCCGACGTGGGCAAACTTGGACTGAATTGGGAAAGGCCCTACTGAGTAAAGAGAGCGCTCGGGGGAGCATACAAGCTCGAAACCTTAGAGGGCAAACAAGTACCCCGAGCGTGGAACGTCGTTAACTTGAGACGATACTACCTATAAATCACCGAGCGAGGTGGACTAAGTTGCTACCAAGGACCTCGGCGTGGGCAAGCAAAGGCAATGCTAGCACCAAGTTGACGAGGCAAAGCGCTAACAACGAGTTGATACAGACCTCGGTATCTCATCATCGGGGGCCAGTGTTGACGCCGAAAGCGGCCGCACGAATATGGTTCTCGACAGAACAATATAGTCAGTTCAGGCATATAGCCTTATTATGCTAATTCGCCCTAGGCCCTAATTCCAGTAATCCGACAATATAATCAGCTCGGCAAAGAAGGAGAAGACAACACTTAACCAAAAAGACATTTTATTGCAGAATACTCAGTGTACATTCAAAAAAAAAAACAGAAGCAAGCTCACAGGCCCGGAGGTACATCTTCCTCGCCCTCGGAAGGCACTTCAACGATACCCAAAGGCCCTGCCTCATCCTCAGAATCCGGTTCACCATCAGCCGCGTTGGCCATCTCCTGAGTAATGCGCGAAGTAGTTATGGCACTGATGTCGAGCTCGAGGTACGTATTCCTGATCATCCATCGGCTCAGTTTAAAACCCCTTTTGTACGAGCCCACCATCAGGTCGTCAAAGCACGGCGAGGCAATATAGTCATTGACGACCTTCTTCTTGGCATCCTCGATGCCCTGAGAAAAGATCTCAGTCCTCTCCCTAATATCCTCCCGAAGGTATTCGACCTGATGCTGCAAGTCCAGCCTCAAGTCCGCCATGTGCTTCAACACCACTCCCATGGCCTCGGTATCTCTCTGAGACCTCGCCATCCTGGCCTTTGCAGCGCGAGAAACCGCTTCGGCAACTCGTGCCCGCCTCGAGCTCCTTTCCGCTTGGGTCGCTAAAGCATGAATGGAGGAGTTCACCTACCAAAAGGGAAAATAACGACAAAGTTAAAAAGAGTAATATCGACAAAGGTAATAACGAGGAGCCCGACAAGAAGTCGCTAACTTACCACCATGGCATAAGAGGCAGCACGCCCGGCTACGTGGTTCAAAGGAAGCTCGGCCCACGTTGCGACCTCCTCAGGGTAAACGGCCTCCCTACTTTTTTGAAGAGCATGGTTCGACGACAGCACACTCCTGAACTCGCCTTGGCCTCCCGAGCCTGAAGGCCCAGCTCGGATATAAGC